TATGTGCCAGCTTTTTGCATCCAGTTAGAGATTGGGTGGCAGTCAAAATTTAAAGTCAGGTTTATTGTTCATAATTTTCAATCATAAAAGTTTTGGGAATCTATATCCAAGGGTACGTATCCAAGGAAACAGAATATTTTTCAGATTTTTATGCATATTTTTTCGACATATTTCCATAGCAACGCTCTATTTAAAGAATTGAATTTGAATTTTTTGAAATGTTAAAATTAGGGTCACATGAACGTCTTTAAAAATTGATCATTAGTTATATAGAAATATGCTTTTCAAAAAGATAGGATAAGACTAAAACACTAAGAGAGTAAATTTAAAATCCCTTTGTGGTATTAAAACCATGGCAACCATTGCTAACCTATAAGAAATATCATATTTCTTCCTTGGTATATGTTACAAGGATCTTTTGTCTATTATTTGCTTGCATTTCAACCTATATTTTTTTTTTATTCTTAAGTGTATGATTTTGTAAAATTAAATGAGCAAAATTATTACTTTTGAATTCTTTGTTTCCATAGTAACGTATGTAATAGTTGATTTACCAAACATGTTTATCATGCATTTAAGACATCAGACCTTCAACTTTCAGAAACAATCATTGCTACTTGTTTGCTTTGCTGCAAACGTTAACTGTGGGACTCTGAACATGTTGAAAAATGCCATTTTTCAAACTTTAGGACATGTTGCCATGGTAACCATGACACGTAGAAACCAATTTCTGCCTGATTTGAGTTTACGGTATCAAAGACTTTTATCATAGAGAGTTTGGAGAAATTCTGAGACTATGCGTGCCACAGCTCCTATATAAAAGTTCAAGTCGTTACAGAGAATGGCTCTTAAACATTATCAATAGATCCGCGGACCGGAAGTATACAGAGAAAACGGCGAGGTTTCATAAAAACTGCATATAAAATAAGAAAGTAGCAAGTACTTTCATTTGATAAGAAACTGTTTTCAAACTATAATATTTTATTTTTAAAATATTTTTAAGAAACATTTCACGAAAAAAATCTCAATAATTTCTTGGAACACTATAATTACTAGTATTTCTTAAATCGTTTTCTATTTATATAACTGTCAAATTGAAGGAAAATCACAGCAAGAGTTGTTTCTTCTTATAATGAAGAAATTTTTGAGCAAGTACTTCTCTTTCAAAAAATATATAAAAACAAGTAAAACAAAAAAAATGTACTTGTCGGAATTCCAACAGATTGTTTGAATCAGATTAAGAGTGAACAATTCTACTCTTTTTTTAAAGGAGTAGTTGTGTATGATTTCGAAACACCCGATCTTTAATTTATTGTGATGAATTGTTGTAGAAAGGGTTGAAAAGTCATACGTTTTGATGCTATTACTTTTAGAAAATAAATTATTATTAAAATCTAATTTTACTTTTTAAATCTTAATCTAAAATCACTGAATAACATGTTCATGAGCTCCAAATATCATCTACATATACAAATTTATGTACTCTTTAGTAAATATGACAAACTATAAAAAGTAACTGGTTTCAATTGATTTACAATTTCATTAAGAAAACATTTTCTCTTTCTTGGTTGTTTTCATTTGTTGGAAGTGACAAAGACAGTGAGAAAAGTAGGACTAAATATATCAATTGGGAATTTGTTGATCTATTTTATAAAAATCGATACGTGTATATCTAAGTGCCGAATTGAAGGCCACAGCAAAAGACATTCTTTTCATGTAGAAGTTTTTGAATAGATTCTGCCTCATAAGAATACAGGAACAGGTCTGCTAATAATGGGGCACAATTATGACCCACAAGATTCCATAGATTGTTGGAAAACGCAGTCTCCAAATAAAACTAAGACTACATAAATATTGTCAATGAAAAACTGAAGCATCTTTCACTGTTGATACATATGCTACATGTACATGCTATCATTATTTTTTTCTACTTTGAAATTGGGTATGCATAGAAATACATATCCCACATGTTTTTCATTAAAAAATATATTTTTTTAAAAATATCGGAGTTATTTATAGTTATACATTTACATTTATAGCCCCAGGGTGAAAATGAAAATTCTGTAACCCTTTTGCACATCTTCAGGACACCAACAATCATCTTCAAAAATATGATTTGGCTATTGCTTAATCTATAAGAGGAGTTCTAAAAACCAGGGGTTTTTTCTGTTGAAAAAAAACATCGTTTTAGGATCTCCATTTAGCCCCCAGGGTGAAAATGAAAATTCCAAAACCTTACTGCACATCTACAGGACACTAAGCAGTCATTGTCAAAACATAATTTGGCTATTAGCCGCCTATTACCTAAAATATATGAGGAGTTATGGAAGCTTAAAAATGTTGTTTTCGACCCCATTTGACCCTCAGTGTGAAAATGAAAATTCTTGTGTTTATAAGAAGAATTCTTAACATTGAAAGCAAATTCCAAAAACCTTTCATGAAAAGTGCCGTTTAGAGGCAAGCGATATAAGAGTTCTTTTGATATGAAGCTGTGAGTGTCACGTCTCTGCGTCAAGCAACTGAGATAGACAAAGAAAGATAACTCGTGAACGTACATGAGTTTTGAAATAACTTTGATTGTTATATTTTGTTTTTAACAAACTGTGCACTTACCAAATTTGCTATAGATTTTGTAATGTGATTTATCATGATGACAAAACAGAAGAACAAATTGCAAACTTCTGCAGCTTCCGACAAATCCATTCAAAATGCAGTCAATTACCTTCCATCTGCCTCACTGAATGATACTTTTCTAGTTTTTGAGAGCTGCAACATTTATTTGTATTTCCAGAATTTGTAGTAAACAGAAATTATTTTTGGTATTCGCTAGAATCGAAGTATTTAAGTAAAGTTTTCCGTTTGAATGGAACGTTTTGAGCCTTCTTTAAAACGTTGATTATCATATAATGACACGCCAATTTCTTCAGAAAGGAAAAAAAGTGGTCAAATGGTTCATTCTAATACCCGTGTAATAGGTATTTCCTAAATACAATTGCCAATCAAATTTACAGTCTACATAAACACCGAGTAAGCAAAGAAATGAATACACCACTACTTTGTTGTCTCTACGGTTACTATAGTATAATAGCATTAATTTCCGAATTCTCTTTATGCTGCGTTACAAGGTCATAAAGATATGTATTTAGCACGAGCACTTGTTTTGGTAATAAATTTTTTAACCCATAGTTTAATAATAACACAAGGTATCCAGTTCCGAATTACACAGAGTACCCCCTCCCCAGAATCGCACTTATTAAACTGTTTAATATCATTGTCCTCTAAGCTAATTTATCTACACATTTTAATTACAATTTATTTATTTCAATTTCACCTTCTGTTATTAAAACTTCAGAACTAAATTTACGTTTATGTTTTTTTTCATGTTTGAAATGGTGTGCGCTAGGATTTCTTAACCCTTAAAACAACATACAATTTTGCATCCAGCAACAAAATGTGCAAGTGGACGTCAATACGCGACGCGGCGTAGGTTTCCATGCATATTGTCATACGTTCAGGACGATAATATTACCGTTTTTCAACAGCAAAGATTCCTTTTTGCAGAAATTTCCTGGGGGTTTTTCTATATAGCAAAACAAACACCGTTTTATATACATGTATTTGCAGTATAGTAAATCTTACCTCTGGGAATGATAGCAAGTATCCACCCACCACCACCACCCGGTAATATTGGCTGTATAACAGTCTTCCCAAAATGAAAATTGCTTCCAGAATTATTTTTTATTATTAAATATTTGTTTTTGTGCATAAATTTAATAATCCAAGTTTTTGATACGTTTGTTTTTCCCAAACTCTTTTTACTTCCTATCAGCCATTTTGCTTAAAGCCATTTATTTGTAATTAAAAGACAAAGATTTTTTTAAATATTTGTAACAAGTATGTTACTGAAAATTTGATTCCGAGTGACTGTTAAAAATTTAATATACTTAATTTTTGTTTGTTTGTTTGTTTTTTGGTTGAAGTGAGGATGCATTTAAGCTTTTAAAAATGATTAACGGCATATGTTCAGTGCATATTCTTATAGTGTGCGTAATATTATTTCTTGGAGAATCTACGTAATGTTTAGACTTAAAATCTGTGTACAGATTAACCTTACTAGTCCTTGAAATCCATCTTCTATCACAAACATAGCGACAAACAAGATGTGTTTGTGAAACACTGATGCCCCCGTATGGCAACTTATAGCAAAAGTTAAACTTTCTCAAATGCAGATCAAATATTTTGGTACCAAAATTAAGGTCTTTAGTCTCGAGAAATATACATCTGAAAATATGTAAGCCCTAGCAGCAATCATTGAATAAATATGAAAAAGGTTAAAGATTTTCAAAAGTAAGTGAAACATCAAATAGTCAAAATTAATGGTACCCAAGGTAAGGCCTTCTCACAAAAATACACGTGAGAAATATGAAAGCCGTAGCACCAACCGTTCAAAAGTTATGGCCAAGGTTAAGTTTTTCATAGGTAGGTTAAACTCAAAGGTCAAGGTCAATGGATAACAATTGTTGGTATCCAAAGGAAAGTTTTTTCACAAGGAATAGACATGTTAAATATGAAAGCCCTAAAAAAACTGTTCAAAAGTTATGGCCAAGTTTAAAGTTTTTAAAAAGTAGGTCAAACTCCAAGGTCAAAGGGTCAAAGTTGTTGATATCCGAAGGAAGGTCTTGTCGCAAGAATTACATTTCTAAAGTATGAAAGCCCTAGCACCAAGCATTCAAAATTTATGGCCAAGGTTAAAGCTCCGTAAAATTTTGCAAAACTAGGTCAAACTCAAAGGTCAAGGTCAAAATGTCAAATATGATTGTACCCAAAGAAAGGTCTTGTCACAAACAGACAGACAGACAGATGGACGGATGGACAGGGCAAAAACTATATACTACCGAATCTTCGATACGGGGGCATAAAAATACTTCTGTATTTTTTCAACTTGAAAACCCAGTGTATAAAAAAGGACATTTTGACCCTTTTCATAATTTATAACACATGTGCACGTTACATCCAAAAACACTTCCAAAACATTGGTCTGCAAAAGTTTATACTTCCCATTTCCACAAAATCTCTGATTTTGGTATAACAGGTTCTGCTTTTAGCATTGAACCATCAATGTTAACAGTTGTATTTGTTCTTTGTGAAAAGACAGATCTTGATCCAATAGTGTTTGTCCTTTGAATCACTTCCTCTGGGGTTTGAATCGCACTTGAAGACAATGGCGGTGGACCAGGGCTTCCGATTGTTGACGCATGCACAGTAACTGGGTTCATAGGAAAAAATAATGAATTTGGAGACATTTGGTTGTTGTTTGTATTAGCTTGTATTAAAGGACCTCCTCGACTTGGTATTCCTCTCATTGCAGAAGATATAAAAGTATTTGTAAGGGATGGAATATTCCTGCTTCTTTGAATTGGTCCTAGTGGACCTAACATATTTCTAATGGGTCTTGTACCATCTTGAATACGTGTAAATTGAAGTGGTCCTGGTAATCCAGTCTGGGATGTTAATAATCTGTTTCTATTGTTATCCTGTTGTGGAAGTCGGTTAACAATGTTCTGATTTGTCATTCCTCTTGGTCTTAACGCCTGTTGACTGTTCCGTGTAAATGGTACCTGATCAACATTGTTTTGAAGTATTGACCCTAAAGATGCCGTTTGATTACGTAGTCTAAACGTAGGCCCTGTTGATACGACTTGTTGCAAAGTTCGATCCAGATTATTAAACGGAATGACAGCCATTGAAGTGTTTTGATTCGTTTCCGGAACTTGCATTGATGTTTGCTGAAATTGACTTGCTCTTGGAATCAAAGAGTTTCTGCCTAAACCTTGCTGAGGAAGAAATTGTCCAGAAAGACCTTGAAATCTTGTTTGTGGAAAAATTCCGTTCATGCCATTGGGTATTAGTCCATTAGCCAACATTCCTGGTGAAAGCATCGATCGTTCAATCTCTTGTGCTCGATCCCTTGCAAAACCCTCTTCGACTTGGGATTCTAAGAAGGAGAGATCAATTGTATCAATGGAGTTAGAATTTAGTGATGGCTGTCTGTTTCTGATTTCGTTGAACAATGATTGTTGCGTTTGTGTTGCCTGTGTATTTGGAGTTATAGTTCTATTGCCAAAGATATCTGCTGGTCGGAGATTATCAGACGCGGAACGTCGCATTCCACCAATGCCATTTGCTCTGTTCATGAAATCTGAAGAAAGCATAGCTTCAGTTATAGACGTTTGAACTGTTTCTTGTTGCAGGAGCTGATTTTGAGGATCTTGAGCCATAAACATATCCGTCAGTGCTGAAATATCCGGAACTCCAGAGGCAATTCGAGTTGGATTACGATTCAGTCTTCCATTGGTTTCTCTTCCTCTTCCATTTAGCCTTATGGAGTCCCTGATTTGTGGAGATCCCTGTGCAAGAGTCTCAAGAAAATCTAAGCTAGGAATACTATTCGAAGGCAGCCTCCCTCGCTGCGCAGAGGAAGGACCTACGTTCTGTGGAATAGTTGCCATTTCTACATTTTGAAAGAGATTGAACTGTGGATTAACTGTGTTCCGTCCTCCTGACTGTGGTGTAATCCTGTTTGGCATTTGACCAGAGGTTCGTTGCAGGGCTCTTCTCTGGATTTCTGGAATTCTCTGACGAAGTGTTTCAGCAGCTCTTGGATTTAACGCTGCATTGTTTCTTTGTCGAATGACATCAACATTTCTTTGAACACTTTGTTGTTGCGTTAAATCATTGTTTCGCTGTCGCAAAAGATCTGCGTTACCGTTTCGTTGTCGTAACAAGTCCCCGTTAGCATTTCGTTGTCGTAATATTTCACCATTATTGTTTCGTTGTCGTACCATTTCATTATTTCTTCGCCGTATTTCATTCCTCTGTAGAACTGAATCATCGGTTCTTCTTCTTAACACATCTCCAGTTCGTCGCAGTGTTTGGTCCCCATTTCTTTGGACATTTTCGACTGGTTCTATACTTCTAGGGCGTGTTACGAGTCTTTGTCTAGAAGGATCAATATTTTCTTGACGTGTGGAGTCCACATTCCTAGACCCAGTCGGTAATCTGTTTCGGACTCTCTGTAAATCAGCATTAACTCTTTGAGCAGGAATGTCTCTATTTCTCATAGACACAGTATCTACATTTCTTTGCCGTTGTGGTTCACCACTTCTTTGACGTGAAGAGTCAATGTTTCTTGAACGCGCTGAATCGGTATTTCTTTGCCTCGGCGAGTCAGCATTTCTCTGTCCAGAACTATCACCATTGCTATTTCTTTGATTTGAAGATCGCCTGCCTCCCCCTCTAAATCCTCCAAACTCTGATAAAACACTGAACAAGGAGTTCAGTACACTAGTAAATCCAGAGGAACCACTGCCAGTATTCCCTTGTTGATCATTAGTACCACGGTCGACCTGCAGAAGAGTTCTTCCTTTATGAACGATATCAGTTGAGTAATACACTTCGGATGGGGCAACTAAAGACATTATCATCCGGTTTGATCGCACAATCGGTGATGTTGACGTTTCCATTCTAGCATTATCTTGAAAAATATCTGTGGAGTTCGGTATGGTAACTGTAATATTTTCTGCAATATCAAGTCCTTCTGTTGTTTTATTTTCCAGTGTTAAATCTAGTGCAAGTTCAACATCGTTTGAAATTGAAGAATTGAAGCTGCTGTCACCCATTGACTGGTTTAATGTGTTATTTGAATTGACTGTAGCTTGGTTTGAATCCAAGACCATTGTGGAGATACTTTCTATATTCGAATTATATCTATTACCTATTTCCGGTGTCGCTGTTATTGTGGAAGAGGTTGTCTCTGTGGATGTTTTTGGCGTCGGTGTTTCTTCTGTTGCTGCTTTTGCTGTCGTCGTCGATGAAAGCATTGTTGTTGGAATGTGTGTTGTTGGGATGTGTGTTGTTGGAATATATGCTGTTGGAATGTGAGTTGTCAAAATATTTGTTGTTGTTGGAATATATGTTGTTGTTGCTGCTTTTGTTGTAGTATCAATAATATTATTTCTTTCTTGTACTTGTTTTGATGTTAACCCTGTTAGACTAAAAGATGTTGAATCAACAATTCTTTTAGTGGTGCCTTCATATTTTAACAAATCGTCTGCTATGCCGTCCACATTGTGCTGGCTTTTAGAAAGTAATCTCGGTGTATAATCTCTTAGAGTTTTGTTTATTGCTGACAACAAGGGATATTTTCCCGCTTTACAAAAGTGCCCTGTAAAGTCGTCTTGATCAAGAGCCCATATCATTACGCCAGCATAGCCATGATCCATTGTCCATTTTGTCTGAAAGAAATCCGAAATAATGATTTAGACTGACTTTAAACAAAGCTCTAAAATATTTCTACATATTTCTTCTTCAAATGTTACATTTTATTATACAATTTTATTTTTGGATCAGTTAAATGTATGATTCCAACGAATAAGAATCGACAACCTACCTTCTCGATAACACTGCGGACGTTTTCGTATCCTACCCAGTCACTACCATCATACATATATGGAACGCGCCTCTCGTCATCCCAAATTTCAACACCGTTACCATTCAAACGGCTACAAATCTACAAAAAGCCCTGATAAGACAAACGAATCCTCAGATATCCTGATGCATCAATATTGTATGCCGTAAGAAACTTGAAAATTACCTCATAGTATGCCAAAAGTCCCTTCGATTTTGTAAACGGGCCCATGGAATTGCCACTGCTACCCACAAGAGCCTGGGCCCCGATACCATTAATAGATAGGTATTGAAGCTTATATCCTCTACCATACATAGCCATTCCAATCACCATTTTGTTCCTTGATGCACCGTTACGCCTCCAGTACGCTGCCGACCATTGCTGATTTAAGAAAAGACATCAGTATGACAATACTTTGGAAACATTCATTTTAAAAGACCAGAGATTTCGTCTTATTTGAAATGCTTGGTAACTTACGACGTTTAATTGCGCCGCGTACCATCTTTCTGCTTTCCCTTTGAACAGTGGGCTGTGATGGCCGGTCTGAGCTTCCCAGGCGCCATGGAAATCGTAGGCCATCAGGTTGATAAAATCAACGTACCTTTATGAAAATTACGTTTTTAAATATCAAATGATTTTGACCACTAAAAAGCAAGGCATAATGGTCGTAACTGCGTGCATGGGAATTCAATTTGATTTCAAGCAAAACCTTTACCGTCAGAATATGGATTAAAAAAAAACATAAAAGACAATTATGAATGCGGGCATATTGTAGGTGTTTTAGGCCCTAGTTAAAAAGAAAAAAAATAATCAAATTGGCATGAATATTCCATTTCCTTGCTTTGGATATATTTTATTTTACATATCAAACATAAATGGATAAGGCACTAGGCATTGCCTATAAAAGCTTTCTTCATAAAGTACAAGGCATAAAAAGTATATTATATTACTAGTGCATATATTTAACAGGTACATAACATCAATAAGTTGTATTCAAATAACAAAAGAGTCTGAGTTTGAGCGATTACTGGTTATATGGAAAATAAATGAGAAAAACGAATTATGGGTTCAGTATAAACTGGTTGTATACGATTCATTACTTTTCGTGAGTTCATCTCATCTGTAAAACATATATCCATGAACAGAATCCAAAAGATGCAATTTTTTATGTAAGGAACATTACTGTCACCAAATAATAATAGATTTAAAGATACAGGTTGATGCAGATGCATACTTGATATACAGTTAAAAAGACTGTCTTTGTTTAAAATAACGTGGACACTCAACGAAAAAGTGATAGGGACTTTCAGCGTGAAAACCACAGTTTTCACATATAGAGTTATCTCTTATAAAATTTTTTTTGTAGATCTGTAATTTAACTACCAGCATGATTTCTTAATTGACAGTGGATAATATTTTGACTACAAATACCATGATTAAGAAGTTTATTTGTAGTATTTTTATAAGCTTTTTTAATGGTATTCGTAAAAGAAGATGGATTTGGTAAATTTCTAATATGATATGATAAATTGTTCCATAATTCAACAGTAGCTGGGAAATAACTATCCGTATATGATGTGTGGTTCTAGCTTGAGGAATAAGCATTATAAAACCATCATGATTTCTTAAAAAATATGGAATTTTATTATGAAACCAAGGAAAGAATACTAAGTTATCGAAAATTTGATGTAATTTGGGTGGAAGAAGTAGGGAAAGTTCGATTTAGAGGTTGAATGACTATAAAACCCAACTCAGCTGACCTATACTTAAGAAATAAATAACAAGTTTAAAAACTTCAATGGGAATTGAAGTGGGTCGGTCATGTGATCAAATCCTGTGAAGGCAGAAGGCCTTCTCAGAAGATTTGATCACGTACCGACCCACTTCAATTCCCATTGAAGTTTTTAAACTTGTTATTTATTACTTATATATACATTTGAGAGGGACAATCGAATGTAATCGAATATAAATATTGCACTAACTGTACGTCGTAGATTTTGACAAATTACGCTAGGTGTAAATCGGCTTGAAAAGCGGTTACGCTTCAAATTCATCTGGCAAAGGATTCTGTTTTGAAGGGAATATTCTGTGAAAGGCTACTTGTGATCAATTATAGTGAGCATATTGGTGTCTGGGAATTTTTGTATTCATGAAAACCCATATTCGATGTTAAAAAACACAAGAAATACGTCCGATGTTTGATAATAAAAAGTTGGAGGAATTTCGGTCGGAAAGGGATGGATGGAGACACTTGTCCGGACCAGATAACTTGAAATCAAGTACAAAATTTGATCAAAAACATAAAATCTACGATTTCAGTCAGGCATATTTATTAATTTATGATGTTGACATGGAGACACTGGCGACAGCTTACATTGTTAAGACAACGTCACAACGATCTCGATGATGGAGGTGTGCCTACCGAACTTCCAAAGTGCAGTGTTTGTCAGCTGTTTGTGGCGTAATTGCATTACATTGATGTTTTTCAACAGATTTTCAAATTTATTGTGAGTAAAGTTTAATGAAAAAAAATTATAGCATTCAGAGGTCTGCAAGAAAAATAAGGGTAAACGTTGAGACTATGCAGTTCAGACATGAAACTTATAACACGTAGTTAAAATCGATCAAGGACTGTATTAAATACTCGTTTACATTGTAAATAAAATGATTATTATTTTACTTGCGTATTTTGTACATTTTTTATGCATGAAAAACATGCTATATTGCTAAGTAAGTCTTTTTATGTAGATATTACTGCGCTGTGTGATTAGGTCACGTAATGACCTATGACCTTCGAAAAACTTCATACAGGTATGAAGATATTTGCTCTCTGCATGTTTATATAAGAGAGAGATACCACAAATGTATATATATGCAATTACAATGATTGCCTTGTGTCCAAGTAACTACTGGTATTCAGACCATTCTGATAATATGAAGACAAAAAAGACCAACATTTGTACTTTAAAGTAAGCCCTTCTTACGACACGATTTTGGCAGTACCATCCCATGTTACTGTGAAAAAATTCTGACCCATAAATAAATTTCTTACTTTTCAAAGTGACCTTGATTTTCTCAAAATGTTCATGGGTCATGTTCTAACGTCCTCGAAAAGTTTTTAAAATTGTTTCGCAAAAGGTAAGTATTGTGTGAATATTTTTTTTTATTTCTCCTATGAAAATGGCTCAATAAACTTATATTTGATTATGAAGCTGCTCACACAGACTAATATATAATAATATATATAATACATAAGTAAGGCAAATCTCACTCTTTTTTTCTAATAAGCATGCATCCAAGATCAATATCAATTCAACTTTAGTTTAATAAAGTAGGACTTATGGCTACTTGGGAATGGACCTGCTCCAAACAAATTTAACCTCCCTGGCTGGTCACTCTACCAGAAAATGTAGGGCAGTTCCAGCATCCGAAGGAGTTTGGTCGTGTCCACCCCTATTTTCATCATCTGTGCAAGATTATTCATACCAGGCCATTTAGTTAATATTTACTCATCTGTAAAATGTAGGTCAGATCGAGTATCCGAAGCATGGGAATAGACTTGCTCGTTAAACTTTAGCCGGAACGCCGAACACCACAGGAGTATAGCATAAGCTCATCTCGATTTCGTCGAGGTGAGCTAAATAGCTAAATAGAATTGTAATGTTTTGTGAAGAACAAATGTTGTGATGAGCAAAAAAACAAATAGCAAGTACAATGTAATCTTATCTTTTTTTTATTGTAATTGCATATTTTTGATAGTAAATATTTTGAGAGTGAAGATTAATATTCTTTATCAAAACAAATTTTAAAAGTTCCAAATCAAACTCGAGATACATCTATGTTCCATAGTAACCTAGTGTGTTTAGGGACGTGAACCCCAAATCACATTTTTTTTCTTTACCGCAAATCCTTTCAGATATTCATAAAAGTGACCACTATTTATAATTTGCACGTATATGAGCAATTCATTCCGCCCACTACAGATACACGACAAAATCACAGAAACCGAGTCTTGTGGTACAGCTCGTGGACTATTTTGCGGTGTCCCACAGGCCACGCTACCGCTTGTGAATGATAAAATAATCCCCAGTTATTTCATAGTAATCCGTAGGCAGTTATTATATCTGTGACCTTAAAGAAATAACAACGGTGCAAATGGGTTAACAGGTTAAAGGGTTTGAATTTACTTGTAAACCACAATTAACGTTGGCAACCATTATTTACTTCAACTGGACAAAGGAACTGATTATAAAGATACTTAACATGAAAAATATGGAGAACAGTATTCAAGCTCAAAAGTCCATTAAGGAGGCTGGGGGTCAACAAATTAACCATCAGATATAACTTTATTTTTTAGATATGATATCTTAAGCTGTCAACTATCATTTGGCAAACAAAAATTTCATACATTTTAGTTTTAAAATTTGATCATTTTTGTATATCTTTATATTGAGCTCTTCTTCTAAAGGAGATCAATATTGTCTGAAAATGGCCACAACCACCCAGCCCTCTTAAACAATACAAATTTTGGAGCAGAACAAACACGGACCTCTAAAACATCAGAGGTGGGATCAGGTGCCATAGAGGAGTAATGAAAACGACATATACATGTATAGTCAATTTTAACTTGTTTACACCAAAAGCTAAGTCTGTGCACAGGAAAGTAGACTAAAGAACATAAAATATAAAGGGTCCGTCCTCTGTCTTATCTTGAATATCGAAGGATGGGTGAAATCGGCAAACTCAAGAAACACCGGCAAGAAATAAAACGATAATGTACTATTCTGTTCTCTGCAAAGACCGTATTTTTAATGCTGCATGCACAACTTAATTTGGTATTCACTGTATTGTGAAGTTTCATTAATATTGCTCCAGCCATCTACAAGAACCCGTGCAGACAAGGTTGTTGAAAGGTTGAAGAAAGCCAAAAAACGAAACAAATTTTATATCTCCCCCAACTTCTCTCCGGGTGAAAAACCAATATAAATTTTAAAAATAAATTTAAAAAAAAATAGCTCCCTGTTTTAATTTTACAATCAGCTGAGAAGTAAAGAATGACATGCTAACCTGTTGACTTCCGGTATGTTGTATCCGGAATTAATCCTTTCCTCGCCCACGGGGACAGCTATCGCCAGCAATAGGGGCTCTCTCCCGGTTTCTCTAGCTTCCTTTGTGAACTCGGATTTCAGTTTCTAAAACATAATACAGAAAAATTAATGCTAAAATAATATAATAAACTTCGGACTTTCCACTAAAAATGTATTCTTTTCAAAATTTTCTTCAACTTAAATTTCAATTGTGAATCCAGAGATCCCGATGTGTTGAAATATAACATATAACTCATGTTTTTCATATTACGCTTAATGTTAAATTATTGCCGGTTCGCTGATTAACATCAAATTAATTGACATATTTTTTAATCTCGTTAAATTTAAATAAAATTAATTCAAAGAACGATAACATTAATTTAATATTAAATGAAATAAATGTGAAAAGGCGATTGGTTATTATATGATGTTCAGTATGAATTTTATGTGAAACTCAAAACGTATGTTGAACATATGTTTGAAACAACCATATGTTTAAAATATGTTCAACATATGTTAAACATATAGTTACCACAAACATATGTTCAACATATGTTTTGAGTCTGCTATGTGTTCAACATATATTTGAAACATATGTTTAACATGTATTTTAAGCATATGTTTAACATACTGTCGAAAATTCATATGGTCAACATATGTTTAACGTATGTTCAACATATGTTACTCGAAACATATGTTGAACATACGTTGCAATTTTACCTATGTACGATATGATGGCCAAAAGCATTTAAAAAAAACTGTTCAACTATTGTGCCTCTTTTTTATATCCCCCTTTGAGTCATTCTCCCAATTTAACATTAATCGTAACTTTTTTTCTCGCTAACCAGCCTTCTGAGCCTTGATATGACAATTTCGGTAAATCTTGCTTAACTCTGGATCTACCAATCCAGATTGGATAGTGTCCTTAACTATGTTTAGCTATGCATCTAGAATTTTATTACGATTGTCAATCTGCTATCTTGTACATGTAGTTCTCGAAGCATTTTCTGTCAATGGGTTCACTATACAAGGAAGCTCTCTTAAACTTTTTTTCCAAAACTATTTTTATCAAAAATACATGTACGTTTTAAGATTAACGTACTGGTATTCTATATCTGATAGTTATGAATACACTTCTGAGATTCAAGCTCAACATTATATAATTATGGTTAACGCAATAACGCTTGCATTTGATAAACCAACACAAAAACTTTATGCCATTACATATGTAATATTGTCAACACAGAGACAAAAGGTGTAAATTATCATGGAAAAAAGCAAATAATGGCTTATAAACCTGTTCATAAGAGAGTTATGTATTAGATCGATGAACCTCAATATTCATTAATACATGAATCTACTGATTTATATAGAAAAAAAAGCCGACATAAAGCATCTCCTTTGCTGACGCAAGCTTATTTTACTTTTTTCACTCATCACATTGAATATACTGAAGAAGACGGTTTCACATAAATGTTTTGTGTTTACAATGTATCAGCTTAAAATTGCTTTAAGCTACCTTAAAATCAAAAGTTGGACGAAATCACTTTGTGTATTAATTATCATCAATTGAGTTTCTAACACAAAACGAACTTGTTTTTTTTAAATTTTCGTCAAATTAATTTCGATTTTAGTATAATTAGTTAATATGCACATTCGAAAAAACAAAGGCATTTGGCAGTTTCTGCTAGGTAGACACTGTGTATTCTATTCTGATCTGAAAATGAAACTTTATTACATGTATTGTGAAGTGCACATATCAATCAAAAAAAAATTATTTTAACTCAAGTATCTGTCGTGCATGGACAGAGCCATTAAAGAGAATACTGGTTGGGTAAAGTTACAAGGGGGTCTATTAAGGGTTAAAATAAAAATGAAACAGGTCTAGAATAAAGAGCTCTTCAAAGCTTGGAACTCTTTGGGTTTACAATCATATGCACAATGGACCCAATAAGCATGAAACTTAATTATTAGCTTAAATTAGTATTTTTGTGTAGACTTTGACCAACATGCAAAATATTATGTGGAATTTATCACTTCCACGGGTCTTACTTTGAGCAAATGTATAAGATTTTCTTTATCTTCAGGAGGCCCGCCCCTTGACCCTGGATACTCCCAATCCAAATCGAGGCCGTCGAATCCTCTTGTTCGTAGATATTGTATGGTAGTGCTGACAAACTCATCTCGGCTCTCATTGGTGGAAGCCATTGTGCTGATTGGTGCGTTTCCCTCCGTCCAGCCTCCTATGGCCAATAAGGTTTTAAGCTTTGGATTTTTCCTTTTTAGATTATTTATTCTTGCATACCTTAAAACAACCAAGAAAATGGTTTTTATTATCTGTAAACAGCCGTACACGTATTTTACTCAATCGCATTATTTTTAAAATCAATATTAATAAAAACTTTTCTTTGGCGAATTGCAAAATGCAGACCCATCCCGGATAGGAGTCCATATAGATGGACTAAACCTAGTTTTACAGTTAATAAACTAGGTTTATCAATTGTGAACTACAGTTTACGAAGTGATTCTAAATTGTTACTAATAACTCCGTTTACCCTTTAACTTTAGCTTACAATTGATAAACCATGCAAGTAAAACATGTCAATTTCGTGAATTTGACGTGTCATAGACCATTACTACTCTATATTTAAAGATCATTGCAAAAATCGTTCGATATCATGTACTATTATTGTCCACGATGATTGTTTGATACTACCCCTCTGTACATTTTGCTTCCATCTGTGGACCTAACTCTGTCCACGTTGATCAGAATTTGAACAGATTTTCGGCTTACATCTTCTCCACGTTTTGTTTGTTTTTAGCGGGAAAAGGGTGTAAGAAGTAAGAAGATGGGCGAACGAGGCGAGCGCAATGCCTATAGTGCAACAAAAATGAAGGTGAAAAATTCTATCTCAATTATAACAAAATTTCTTTGGTATTTCTTCTAAAATTAAAGTATACTTTATGTAAAATCTCCACAATTTGCAAAAATCCCACTAGAATTGAAATTATTTGCCTATGAAATAGCATACACACACTAGAGAGGGCATAAAGTAACATTTTCTCATACTAAAACACAATTTTTCGATATGAATGGGTCTTCGCTCCATATTTTTCAAAGTTTATCCTCAAAGTTTGCGAAAAAATATACATTTTTGGTCAACAAAACATGGAACAAAGACCACTATACTATAAAAATACACTTTCATGACACAACATTCTCATCTTTCCGAGAAATACTTGAAGTTCATTTAGTCAAGGGTCATATCACAAACAAAAAAATCATAATCAATTTGTGAATTAGTATTTAAATGCTGCAATTCATTAAGAGCTGTGTAGTGTAGTGGTTAGCGTGTTAGTCTCGAAGGAAAATGATACTCAGGATTTTTATTGCTAGGATTCGAACAATTTTTAACAACAGAATAATTTTTGCCGAGAAAATTTTCCTTAGAAAAGTTTTGTTTATCATAATTTCATAAATATCAATGATGAGAACTTTACTCTAAATACTAATTCACAAATTGATTATGATTTTTATATATCTGAAGCCATATATAGGCATTCTATGCGACTTGTTCACCCATTCTCCTTTTTGCCTTTAATTAAAATCGTAAATGATTAAACTGTAGAAATAACAAAAACGATGCTAAAACAACATTGCCCATCTCTTTATTTAATAAAGTTTATCAATTTTGAAATTCGTCATAAACTCCGATGCAAAAAGAAAACTTCCTATCGGTCAACACAAAGCTTAGTTAGAAATTCATAATTAAATATTTATCCACAAAAAACACTTAATTTGATGATTTAGTCTCGCATCAAGTCCAATGCGTATGTTCGCAACGGTTTCAAAAGGGGGGAGGGGGGCTTCCCAAAAAATCTGATAAAAAATAAATACACATTATCATACAGGGCCCATTCACTAATTATTTTGTCCTTACATTGAAATATTTTTTTCACAATAATTTTCTATGTTTCTGTAATATTTAAATAACCTTACTGCATCAATAAATATTGGCTTAAAACCTTGTGATCTTGAATAATAAATAAATTTTTTGCAACTAACAAAAGAAAAATCAAAATTGAATTTTTTTTTCTTATTTTTTATTATTATTATTACTATATATATATATATATATATATATATATATATATATATATATATATATATATATATATATATATATATATATATATATATATATATATATATATATCTTCACCTTTTGGTATATCCTTTTTTTTTGTTTTGTTTTTTGGATAAATTGCATGATTAACTGTCATATGTCTACATTTGTGTACATTTTTTTCATTTTAGAAAGTGCACTGTGCGAGTGTGTTTAAGTGTGGTGGTGAGTGGATGTAAATTGTTTGGTATGTGTTTGTATATATAGATATGAAAAAAGGCTTCAAAATAAAGCATTAAAAAAAAAAATACTGTCCAAAAACTGGGGAACCAATTTCCCAAAATAATATGACAAGCAAAAAAAAATTATACTGCCAAAATCCTGGAATTTACCAGTGCCGGGGGGGGGGGGGGCACACCAGCATCTATTAAATGGAAATTTACTACAGCAAAAGACGATACTCAAAAAAAAAAAAAAAATGGGAGGGCGCGTTCTATGGCCTGGTTCGTATGAAGAAATACCAGTATATCTGGGTCATTTGCTCAAAAAAGTACGCGGAACTTCAAACTTCAGGAAGAAGAAAAGAAGTTTATTTCTTGGTCAATAAGATGTTGGTTTACTTCCTACTAATCGAAACTACGTCAAAAAGATATTCTTTAACCAATGAAATAGACAAGGTCAGTCATAAAACGGCCATTTTCTGCGCATTATCTGGCCCAGGCGATGCGGTAGTGCGGGTTCACACTTGAAGACGTGTTCAGTGACTAATCAGGTGATCAAACGCCGATTGGTCTTTCCATTGGTATCTCTCTTGTCAATGTATATGACGACATTTAGTTCCAAAGTCTTGTACTATCAAGTATGATATTATATTATAATAAAAAAAAAATGGAAAGTATAAAAATCAACGTCATGTCAACATTTTTTTGAAAATATTCCTATTAACATTTCTTTCAATGAAAAATTGTTAAATTCACTGATACCTTGACAGACATCTAAATATATTATAAGACAAGGATGAATGAAAATTAATATCAAGATTGAGTTTGAGACATGGTTTAAATGACAGGCCCGTAGGAAGCAATTTCAGTTTGGGGGGGCACAGCCAAACATTTTTCAGTTGACAGTTGAGGGGGCACTACCAAAAATTTTCTGACAAGCAAAAAAAAAAAGGTCATCAGGCGGTTTTATTGCGGGGGCACAAGCTTATAGTATCTATGTTTATTATAGTAATCTATATATCGGCAAAATTATTGGGGGGGGGGGGGGGCACGGCCCCCCCGTGCCCCCCCCTCCCGGTTCCTACGGCCATGAATGAGGTAAAATTTATGCAATGTCAACACAATTTCGCATGAAATGAGATGTTTTTACAATATGTACACTAATGTCGGGGTGGGATGGAGGAGAGGAGGGTGGGGTAAATCAATATTTAGATATGATCGTAAGAAGGATTGATAACACAACCTGACTTCTTTTAATTGTACGTGTTAAGCGGTTCACTTTCTGATTTCTCCTTTTCCAGAATAATAGGAACGTTATTTAGGAACCGAAATGCCATTTTCAATGAAAAGGACATCATACAGGCACGTAGTATGGGGGAGGGGGGTTATGAGTAAGAAAATGTTTATTGAAAGACGCCCCCCACCCACCCACACACGTTCTGTTGCAGATTGGTAAAATTCTCCAATTGTAGTGTCTCCAAAAATTCTTATCAAAATGGTTGGACCCCCCACCATACCCACTTCCCTCCATTAACACACACACACACACACACACAAACCATGAAAAAAGATTTTCGAGTTTGGACAATCAGCCTTCTCTTCTTGTTTCAGATTTTTCACGTAAATTAACTTTTTGCTGCCCTCCCCACCCCCTTTCAAAAACGATGTTATATGCCTGTTACATAAATGCAGTCAAAAAGTACTGTAAAATAATAATACAAATATACGGTTAAAAGTATTACATCTACTTACATTTTACGCTAGTTCAACTTCGGCGTACTTTTTTTAACAAGTAGAACAGGTTAGGACGTGAACCCTTATTTATGGCTTACCGGACGTACTTTTGTCACACTCATAAATATATACGTGAACATTATCTTCATTTTATTTAGACTTATCACAAACTTTATAGAATTTCACATCGCTTGTATGAATTAGAGTAATATGTCTGAAATAACCCTCATGTTATTTTTTCTACTGAAAGAAACCGAATTTTTTAAAATCTTTTTTTGTAAATCAAAAGAACTAAAATAATATTTGCCTTCTGAAGACTAAAGATGTCATTTTTGCACATGTGCATATTAAATCTGTTCTAGCTAAAGATTGGAGATATATACATATAAATTGTCTGGATGCATCGTCGCAAATCAGGGCCAAAATTACGATCCTCTCCCATTCTGGAGAGCTATACTAGTATGCAGGCTCCAGACCATTTGCATGGATTGAGATAAAGAGCTAAGAAGACATCTGGAAAGACCACTGTGCTAGTATCTAATATTCTTTTGTATCTGGAAGATACAAAAGCTACAAAAAGGGGGGTCAAGCCATCAACAAAATGTGTTTCCCGGTAAAAATTTGTACATGTAGAAACCACTTTTGTCCCTTTTGACAGCAGGGTTCCCCTTCCCAATAGTCAGTATAAATAGAGAACAAATATATTTCCTTCAGATTAATGAAACGGTCTCTAAACTTCGAAACATACATGCCCTTGCTCCATTCTGTTGATTCATCATTCCATTCCACGGCTTCGATCCTGTTCCCAGAAGTCTTTGCAAAAGCAAACACAATGTGAGTACACAGGAAAGGATCCACGTTCTTTGGGGTGAATTTTCCGAGACCTGTTCTATACTGAGACCAGTTTGTATAGTAACAAATGCGTTTGTAGTCCTGTTTTTGTATGGAGACGGTGTGTCCTGATGATAACACTGGGATAAAAAAAAAAAGCAGTGTGAGAAAATTCGCATTCTTAATCTTTATTAAACAATTTCAAGTTATATTGTTCTGATTAATCGAAATCACTTCCAAAAAAATTATACAATTACAAATTGTATAATCTTGTCCGACAAAACTGTTACGTCCGTAGGTTATTTTGTTATGAAACATCATCCTCCGGCAGGATTTACTTAGAGATGTGTTACTGCTTAATTGTAAATTTGTACTAATAGATATAGTGGAAATATTATGACAAAATTAAATTAATTAAAGCTTCACTCGAGGTGCATTTAATATAACTACGGTGGTTGAGGAAAAAAATTATACTCACCAACAACTACGATCAAAACTGAATACAGTGAATTCATTTTTCCGACAAACGAAAATTTTGCACACAGCTTTAAGAAAGAACAGCTTAAAAAAAATCCTCAATTAAAAATAAACATAAACAATCAATTAAAAAGATTAATTCCAAAGCACAAATCGGTCATAGGACTGCATTATGGTGGGGGCCAGTTCCAGTTGAATATCTACATGTTAACTGTGGTCCGAGACACGAGCTGGGCCCCCGATCATGGTGTAAAGCTGCGCATAAAATCGTCCACGAACAATCCTGATGACATGTTGTTATTTGCCTTTATGTCACATTCATCATAATCGATTCCTTGCCGAAGTCATCAAAGTGCCAAAGAAATACAGAGCATTAGTAATACGCAAGCACCTTGCAGGAAAAAAAGGGGGTCTAAATGTAATTAGTACTTTGTGCCACATTTCCGTAATTATTTACATTTTATTTCAGTTCTCTTTTGATTCATGGTTCTACTATTTATTTCTATGCTTACGAATACCTTTTTAATCCAAACATCTGTTTATAATAGCATATTTTACAGACAATGTTATCTATTGTATAGAAATTCTATGTGGAACTCGAAGTGTTTCTTTAGATTAATTTTTAGATTATTTTATACTTTATGCTTAACAAGAAAATTTGAGTTTCCCTTAAAAATGAACTAACGTCCATCATCTCTCTGTTCACTAGATAAAAATTTGCTTTAATTAATGTTCATAATTTTCTAAAAGAAATTTAATTCATAATTTAAATCAACACCATTGCAGCATAACTTGTGTGGCAAAATTTGATGAAAATGAACTTTTAAATTGACAATTTTATGAAGGAATAAAAGTAATTTATTTCCAAAAGAGTTGTCTCTCTTATTAGCGAGTCAGTGAACCTTAATTATAATTACACCATTTCATAGATTATAGATCAAAAACATTTTATATGAATTTATATGATGCTGGAAATAGAGTTTTGAATAATTTCACCCGAAATTGGATTTTAGAGGAAATATTCACCTTCTTGAATTTACAAACTTATTTCCTCAAATCACTTATTCATATTGATAAGAGAGCCATCAACACCTCCAGACTGTCCTAATCTATCAGTCAATCTACAGCAAGACGTGTAAACAACAGTCTTGTCTTTATCCTGGGATACCATAAAAAGACAAATCAACACAGTCTTAAAATATAATGAATAAACAGTTGTTCATTTACATATTTACATAAATACTTCTATTCTACTTTTGTCTACATACTTACAAATAATATTTTATTCATAACTAGCCTTTTTTTTAGTAGCAATTGAATTCATATTTCCAAAAAAAATTTCCAATGCATATACATGTATTTATGCTTATCTCTCAATGTCTCTGTTTTTAGTGGAATTATGCAAAATAAAAGATACCATTCACAATATTGTAGTATGTAATGGTTCTTATTTTTATCAGTACATTTAAGGACAGATGCTAATTTTTTTTTTTTTTTTCAAAAGTTATGTAAATGTCAACTAAATCTAAGAGTTTTTTAAAAATAAAAATGAATAAGTTGAGCTGTATAAAGTTTCATTTTTTTATTCATGTTTATTCATATATTTTTTCAGTATTGTAATGTTCTATAAAGATAAAATAAATGTTTAGTTTTATAAGGGTGATGGCAAGAAGGAAATAAAATCTGAACATTAGAAAATGTTTACAATTTCTCAATATTTTTAAAGATTTGGTATATGCATCAATTACAATCAAATATGTCCAAAAATATTTACCAGCATGTACCTTAACAGAACTTAAAATATTTATCAGTATATATTCCTACTTATATTTAACAAGAAAATCTTGTAGCTACAAAGAAAATATATGCAGGAACAAAAGCAATATAAATTCTAAAGCTGGGACGATATACATGTATCGATAATATCAATTCTGTGAGAGGACGATACGCTTATCGATACATATGTAGAAATATCGAAATACATTGTATTGCCAAAAAAAAATTTGACTTCTGATTTCTTTGTTTACATAACATTTTGGGTTTAATATACATAATAAATATGCTAAATATTAAAATAAATATGAAATACAAAATAATTACCATAACACCACTTGTGTAAAATTTTTGTTTTACAACAGATATACAACTTCTTTGAATAAATTATTCTTATTTGTGAAGAAATGTTTTGTTCATTTCAATACAAAGAGAAGATTTTAAAACCAGTTCAAAATATTGTGATACATATCGTATTGTGGCTCAAATATTGCGATATATATCGATACAGAAAAAGTTGTATCGTCCCAGTCCTAATAAATTCAACACAGATACAGATTTTATTTCAGTAATACAGTAAAACATATTTATAGGAAATATGAATATGCTGTACATTCCTTATTTTACATTTATTTTATAAACATCATAAAATAATTCAGACGTGATGTCAAATCACAAGAACATGAATTCATGAATGGAGTGTTGATCAGGAGATTTTACATATATTTCAGTACAACATAAAAACGAAAGCAAGTAATTTCATTTTGTGCATGGTGCTTCTCAAGTAATAATGCAATAATAAATTCCTCCAGTAGGAATCTACAATCATGAACACTAGTTTATAACGGAGTCTTGATTTATCATAGAACTTCAAACCAACAAGTTACCAACTACACATACCTGGTAATAAATTAAGGATATAACATCACATTTTTGGAATTCTGAGGTGGTTAACTAAATCTATGTTCTACTGTTTTCATACTTTATTCAATTTAAAAAAAAGTGTGAAAGCTGATGGAATTAGATTTCTGTAAAAAGCGATTTACAGATATACATGTACCTTCATTTAAAATCAACAATAAACTTAAATGTTTTACATACATTGCATAGAATAAAGGTATTTGCAATCATGTTTCAAAATAAAACCAAACTATTCAATAGACTGGAAGCCTGATTTGAATACATGTAATGCACACTTACTAATTATAAATAGAATGAGTAAATCAATGACTAGTTATCCCCTGCCAATGCAGCAAAGGGGTTTGTCCCTGACATAAGGTCCCCCTCCTCAGATTCCTTCTCACTCTCTGAAGAGTTATCTCCCTTCTCAAAAACTTCAGCTTGCTGTATTTCTTCATCAGTGCTCTCCCCTTCACTTTCATCTTCATCCCTGTCCTCAAATTTACTTAGTTCCTCAGACAACTGTTTAGTTTCCTGGTGGTGGATCCATAATTCTGAAAGACAAGTTTTCATGTAGACCCAATAGTCACATGGTTGTTAGAGAGATTAGACCCAAATAGCAACTTCTCATGTCTTCCTGGCAAATGGAAAAACAACCTTGAATGTTACGAAGGTGTCCATGACAGCCCCCCTTTTCATAAACATTGAAATAAATGTAGGGAGACCTTTTATCTGTAGAATCTGGAGCTTAATTTCACAGAATGTAAAAATACATGTATTACCTAACATGTACTACAGAAAGTACAATCATCTCTGTCTATCCAAAACTTTAATAAACAGGAAGTGACTCCATTTTATATAAAATTTAACATCCAATGATGTGAATTCAAAGTATTTTTCCAAGCTATGTCAGAAAGGCCTAAAAAATGCAATTGAGGTAGACCCTGCTTAAATGAATTGTTAAATCTGGAAAAAATGTTAACTTCATTCAGAATATTTGTTGAAAATCTTGCTTAAATCTGTACTGAAGACTGATATTATGATATTTCAAAAGTTACCTCAAAATAACATTAAAGATTTTAAACTTTAATATTACAAATGGCTGCCATAAAAACAAGGCTAAGCCTACCCTCCTCAGCAGTGTAGCCTGGAGGCCTCAAACAAAGGCAGATTCTGCCCACCAGAGCCATCCGTAAGAGATGATTGGCAGCCCTGTAGGCATCTGGTCGTGCTGCCTTGGCTGTCAAAAAACCTTTCTTTAGGGCCCAAGCTGGAATAAAGCATATATTTTATTGAATTACAATCTTAAGTTTCTGATCATTAATCGATTCAATATACATCATCTTAATTTATAACATTGCAAATAATTGTCTAAAAACATACAGAAAAAAAAGGAAAATGAAGAAAGAATATTATTAATTTCTCTACTTCAATTTATTCTTTTTATGAATTTCATGCCATTCTGCTTTTAAATGATGACATACGATACCTTCACAAATATCAAATGCAGTCCAATCATCTCCTTCATCAATATCTGGATGCTTCAACTTCAGCAGCTTGGGCAAATTAATTCTTTCTCCCAGAAATCCAATCACAGAATATGGCTCCCTAACTTGAGCAATTGGAAAAATTCCTGCAATTATCTGCAAAATATTTCAGAAGTGTCAATTAAGCCACACACTTTTTTTTTAAACTTAAACAAAAAAGTTATACCTCATATCAAAAGCATACAATGTCCATTGAAATAAAAAAAATATATATTAATTTCATTCTAATACTCAAAAACAATATATGAATATTGCCACTCCTGATGTTTCTGAACTGGTTAACTGGTAATGGACTCAATGGTAGATAAACAAGAGGCCCATGGGCCACAGCGCTCACCTGAGTAACTTTGGCCTTGCTGTTTTTCACCTAATTCCTCCTCCCCCCCCCCCCCGAAGTTCTTATTGTGGCCCCGCCCTACCCCCAGGGGTCATGATTTGAACAATTTATAATCTACACTATCCCAGGATGCTTCCACATAAGTTTCAGCTTTTCTGGCCCAGTGGTTCTTGAGAAGAAGATTTTTAAAGATTTTTCCTATATATTTCAATGTAAAACTTGGATTCCCTATTGTGGCCCTGCCCTACCCCCGGGGGTCATGATTTGAACAATTTATAATCTACACTATCCCAGGATGCTTCCACATAAGTTTCAGCTTTTCTGGCCCAGTGGTTCTTGAGAAGTAGATTTTTAAAGATTTTTACTACATATTTCAATGTAAAACTTGGATTCCCTATTGTGGCCCCGCCCTACCCCCGGGGGTCATGACTTGAACAATTTAGAATCTACACTACCCCAGGATGCTTCCACGTAAGTTTCAGCTTTTCTGGCCCAGTGGTTCTTGAGAAGAAGATTTTTTAATGAGCCCACCCAATTTTTGTATTTTCTTGATTATCTCCCCTTTGAAGGGGACTTGGCTCTTCATATTAACAATTTAAACTCCCCTTTAACGAAGGATGCTTTGTATCAAGTTTGGTTAAAATTGGCCCAGTGGTTGTTGAGAAGAAGTCGAAAATGTGAAAAGTTTACAGACGGATGGACAGACGGACGGACGGACGACGGACAACAGTGGATCAGAAAAGCTCACTTGAGCTTTCAGCTCAGGTGAGCTAAAAAATACAAGCTATGTGTTTGAACATTGAGCCAAAAATGCTCATTAAAGCCATGTGGTAACTTAGCTCCAAATAACACAAATCAACAATCTGAACATAAGAAAGTTGTAAGATGGTCGGAAACCCATGGCTGATCACGCTTCATTCCTCTTTCTGTCACCCGGGTGATGGAGAGAGGATTGAAGCGTAATTATCCGTGGGTTTCTGACAATGAAGACAGACAAGACAAACACTACATTACCCTGGCTGACATTACATAACATATAAACACACATGTATGACTTCACAATATAATTTATGAGCCATGTTTAAGAAACACTAAATTTCACAAATGTACAAAAACGATTTTACACTAAAGTGACGCTTCATACTCTTAAAAATAGTCCTGTCTGTAGTACTCTATGTTGATTTTACTCCTAAGTTGCCAGATCTGCAGTGATTTTATGCCTGAGTGGCCCTACCTGTAGTGATGTTGAATTATTAGCCACACCTTTAGTGATTTAACACCTGGGTGGCTTTACCTGTAGTAAGGTTGAACTATTAGCCACACCTTTAATTTAGTGATCTTATACCTGAGTGACCTTTCCTGTAGTGATGTTGAATTATAAGCCTCAGCTTTAGTTATTTAACACCTGAGTGACCTTTCCTGTAGTGATGTTGAATTATAAGCCTCAGCTTTAGTTATTTAACACCTGAGTGACCTTACCTGCAGTGATGTTGAATTATAAGCCTCAGCTTTAGTTATTTTACACCTGAGTGACCTTTCCTGTAGTGATGTTGAATTATAAGCCTCAGCTTTAGTTATTTTACACCTGAGTGACCTTTCCTGTAGTGATGTTGAACTATTAGCCATACCTTTAGTGATTTAACACCTGAGTGGCCTTACCTGTAGTGATTTGTCTACAAGAGAGGGAAAGACTAGACCTGGACAGTCACAGAGCTTGACCGTAGGTGTTAGGAGGATTGTCTGGAAATGTTTGGTGTGGCCTGGGGTCTTGGAAACACTCACAACCTGAAGTATTAAAAATAATCTTTGCATGAATTCTATATATATCTTTCTGGTATACTTTTTTTTCAAAAAGGTACCAGGCATATCATACAAACCTTCCTGCCCACCAATCCATTCAAAAGAGAGGATTTTCCGACATTAGGATATCCTGTATAAAAGAAATACGAATGTGGTGTCAAATTTTTTACATGAAGTTTCTTACTATAGCACAATATATATAGGTATTGTAAAACTGAAAGTATGTTTAGGCTAAAAAAAATTTTTCCAGATGAAACAAGAACACTATCTCATATTTGACAGTGTTTACACTTACCTACACAACCAATGGTTAGAACACCCCCCTTAAACATCTCATGACCCTCCTTTTCCTCTGAAGGAGGGGACTCATCTACAATTTCCTCTTCTTGGCATATGTCTGCATGAATTTTCTCCTCCCAGCTTGACATGTCAACTAAAATATTTGTTATATATGTAAGTGACTTATATTACACAAGTGTAGTTCACAATTGATGCTGATTTGAGACAATATAACATGTCAAATACCTTTATTTCCAACAATTTCTTGACAAACTCTAAGTAGTTGCAGTGGTCCTACGGAGTCTGTATATCTGTTGATTTTTCCCCTTTTAAAAACTAAAAAATAAAAGGACTTTTTGTGTACCAGTAAACATGAAATTGTTAACTCTTTCCAATGAATTTACAAATAATTTGTGAATAAGGTACAGCATTTTTCCACAACTAGATCATTTAAAATCCCTCTTTGTGTTGAAGAAGTACTGTAAACCAACTTTTATAAATGCGTAATATCCACAAGTTTTGCGACTTTCTTTTACTCACGAATATTTCTCATCGCGAACCAATTGTTCATCTATGTATTTATGTAGAATGTAACTTCGGTTGAGAAAATAAGTAGTTGCAGATTTCAATCTGAAGAATCACGAATAAAAGATGTCACGAATAATAATTGGTTTACAATAATGAGTCTGTTTTTATGACTTTTTTCCTACTGATGGCCTTTATTCTTGATTTTTCTGCAAGAGGGAAACAAACCAACAAAAACAATTTATCTTAATCACGTAATATAGATGTATTTTACCTCTCCTTTGTTGCTGAAGCTCACCACCTTTAGCAAAAGCTGCTTCTGAGGGGTTAGAACTAAAAAGGACAATTCTGAGTTCTGGGAACTTTGACTTGAGATAGTGTTTCCAAGCCACAGTCAATGCCCTTGGTGCAAGGTCTATCTTATTGATAACCAGTATCATAGACTTTCTCAGAGTTTCTGTCACATAACTGTATAATGCAGGTGAGAAATGTAAGACCTGGAAACGTAATAAATTACATGATAGAATTAAACTAAAAATATGTCCATTTATAGAAGGTACATGAATGCCTTGTCCAAGGTACATTTGTATTGTATTTTTGCAAGAAAGTTATTTGGTATTTATAAGCAAGAAAAAATTTTCACCATTTCTGCTTATTGTTGTATGTAATCTTTTGTAATAAATGAAATTGTCTTGCATAAGGACACGAAAAGAATCTTCACCAATAAAAAGTGATTTATAGTATCATCTAACAGCTAAATAAAGTCTTATTGTTGCAAGTTCATTTGCTTATATTTAGCAAATTTATGTATGATCTCTTCAGTATGCATGGTAAAATCCTCTTTAAGAGATTTGGAATGGAATTTCATGAAGTAATCCTTTAAAAAATTAGAAAAGATGAACCAGGAGCAAAATATCGAGAAAAAAAAATTGAATTCAATATCATATGGAAGGTCATGGTAAATATAGGATCTCTCATGGTTTGTATTTTGATATGATTTTTATCCAGTGAGTTATGTGTTTTCTATCCCAGAGCCTTGGAAATTATGTATAAGTTTGATTAAAATATTATGAACAGTTTCCTCTAAATGGTGCAAATTACAAATTATTAATAGTGAGGTCAAGGTCATATGGAAGGTCAAGTTTATAAATTTTTGACACAGTTGAATAGTACTTATCAATTTGTATCTTTGTATGAATTTCGGTGTATATATCTTGAACAGATACTCTAAAACTAACATAAATGCAACCGAAATAGTTGGTTTAAGGTCATAGGGAAGGTTGAAGTCAGAAGAATGTTACACAGAGGAGTAGCTCTTGTCAATTTGTATCTTTGTATGAAGTTATAAGCCTTTTGTAATACCCACACGTAACATTTGCCTCTAGATATTCTCTCATTTGTAGCTGGGTAACAAGCAGAGAGACAACATTAGTGTTAATATCTCTTCACAGAAACAAACACACGGGACACTATGCATACCGGAGTTCTGACATCTACAATAAGGAGAACGACGTCGGAGATCTCCAGCACCCTCCAGAGTTGTCGCCATGTCTCCAAGTTCATCTCAAAATAACTCAGCTCTTTAGGGGAGTGTTCTTCCATGATTCCACTGATATATTTCTTAAAAGTTAATAAAATCACATAAAATACTGAATTGGTACATTTGACTTTGATAGCACCTTTGTATTACTATCTTTTATGATAAATGTCAGTAAATTCGAATGTGAATTTAAAAAATAAGAAATAATGAAAGTTCTTTTATAAAACAATTAGAATAAATGACATCATGATCCTCTAATAAGTCATATAAAGTTTCTTGTATGTTAAGTATATGAAATTCACTTTATCAATTCTATCACTAGAAGTTTAATTTGATTGTATCACAATTATTTTTCAGTAATCAAAGCTTTATTGGTTACCTGGAAATATTTCTCTTCCCTGGCCTCTAGCTGTCCTTTTGACATGGAGTAATCCCATGGCGGTCTCTTAGGAATATCCAAAACAGATCCTGGTCTGTACACACTCTCAAAATCAACTTCCAAATCTGTCTTCAAAAGGAACAAGAAAGCCCTGTCATCTTTTGAGATTATATTGAAAAAGGTGAATGAGATTTTTTCAATTTTCCTAGAATTTAGTAAGTAAATGTTATAGTTCATCTTTAGTTACATGTATGGAAGCCCTAAACACTACACATTAAAAAGCTCTAGTTTTATGTGTTAGAGTGACCTGCTCTTTTATATAAAATACAATAAACAAAAATCTACAGTACACCCAAATTGAAATAGATTATTCTGACATTATATCAAACCAAGATAAAGTAATTGAATACATAATCTGCATGTATTTTCCAAATGTAAGCAAACAACAGTGATTTTTGTACATTAATACTTCACTGTAACGAACACATTTTTCTGGGGGAAATGTATTGCAGGTAACTCATGTTGAAAATGAATTAATTCAATATGCACACCTTTATGTGATATAATTTCCTCAAAGTCCAAAATAACATTTTTCATTGTGTTACAGATTCCTTAAATGTATTTTCAACAGGTGAATATGATTTGTAAAATAACTTAGAGTTTTATTCCTACTGTGAACAGATATCAATTTAATATACATATATTTGACTGGTTTAAATCTAAGTAAGTATGGTTGGACATTAATTACGACAGTATATGATAAACGGCAACCTCTTTCTTAGGTTTGATTGGTTCCTTCTTTGCCCGCAATTTTCTTGCATTTATTTCATCTCTACTTTCTTTGAAGAAATGAAGTCGGTATCTACAAAAAAAAAAAAAAAAAAAAGATCCATAATTACACATTCATGTTTTCATCATTAACACAACTTATGTGTTAATAATTTATTGATGAGTTAAAAGTTTGATGATAACAGTATTAAGCATGTTGAAACTTTGACTATCCCATAATATTGTAAGAGCAGAAATATTCGTTTCAGATTTAATTTCATTTATTTCCTTTAAATCCCACACAAAATTTTTATATGACTATATTCTGAATAGGGTTACTTTTGAAACAATGAAATTTCATGCCCACATTACATTTTTTGATGACAAATCAATGAAATTTTATTCCCACAAAAATTTATGCTTCTATAGTATTCCTTTTTAAAATTTATGGAAAATATGATGAGAGGAAATGTTGATTACTGTAAGTCATTTGCCAATTTAGTCGAAGTTTCCAATTTGCCAACACTTCCACATTTTATATAATTTGATGCATATCAGTCTATCACAATGCAACAATGACCATATAGGCATATACATTCCTCTGATGACAAATGAACAAATAAAAATATACATTATGACATGAGATATTGATGCTTTGTTGTTCTGTAAAAGAATAATCAAATATGTCACTAAATAATATTGACTTGTTGTGTTAGTTAAAAGACAGTTGCTGCTAAACCATTTATCAAATGATGTGCCCACGTCATGCACATAATGGAAAAATAAATCTCTCTCTATAAAGATTTCCAAAAGTAGTTTTTTTTCCTTTACCATAAGCATGATAAGACAGGCAATAAATTTAGATTTTACTTTGATGCTTCTGTGGTGTATTTACTAGAAGAATTCAAGATTTTTAAATACGCTCACTTTTTGGCATCAAGCCATATCGTGACAAGACCTTGCCTGATGAATAAACGATGTTAATTTCCAGAACTTTTCAACGGCTGATGGATGATAAATGTCATTTAAACAATAGATATTTAATTTACTTGATTATTGGTAAATACTCTCCACCCCTCGTGAATGAAAAACTGTCAGTATACTTACCAATAACCAATTAGTATCTATTATAGTGTAACTATAACTTACCTGTTAGGGTCGTATTTCTCATTCCCAATATTTACAGGTTGTTTGTTGACCTCTAACCTAGATGTATCTCTGCTGGCTGAATGAGCTTCTTCACTATCATCACTACTATCATCCTCTGAAATGTAGAGGAAGGTATGTTATTAAAATAACAAACATGTTTACTTTACCAAAGAAACTGGGTTTGACATTAACTTTTATGAGGAACTAGACCAGTCGGGCTACTTCCCATAATTTTTACTAGCCCTGACCAAACTTGAAAATTTTCTTTTTATTACCTGCTATTATAATGAAAAAAAGTTTTGAACCATATTACAGTGTATCTCTCGCACGTTTTCAGGTATACATTTTGACAGATTGTTCCATAGGTAGCAGCCCAATGAGCCCTGCATAGGTAGCAGCCCAATGAGTCAATTAGAGAATATTATGAGCTTTAAAAAACATTAATTAAAGGAACTTAAATAAAATTATTACCATAAATATACATGTTAATAAATTAAAAACTATATTATTCGATGACTATTCATACAAAATGATACTGAATGAAGCTAGTTTCAATCGCGACTTGTTTATTACAGGCGGGCTCAAAAATAGCGATTGTGTCATGCAGGAAGTTTTCTTTTTCAGAGCAATGTCTGTGTTTGCAATCGGAAAATTAAGAAAATTTCTTTAAAAAGTTTTTAGTGCATTTATTTGAAAGACTGAAATGAGGGTTAACATTTATTTCATCCACACAACCAGTCGGTCTTAGGCTATTTCATGAACATTTAACACGACTGGACCACGCATTCACTAGACTGGGAGTCAAACCCTGTGAAAATAAGCTAAAATAAAAGCTTGATATTTGTTTGGGTTTTGGGTTTTAAAGCATATGACTATATGACCTTATATTGTTTCATACATATTCATATTTATCGATAACATCTGAACATGTTTAATCTGTTAATTAAAACCCAGGCAATGAGGCTGATGTATATTTTTTAATAATTTACTGAAAATGTCACTGCATCTACATACATTTATCGAATATTTAAACAGAATTTTGTTTGCTTTTGTGAACACTGTAGTGACTTATTTTCATTTTAAAGTCTTTTTCAGTCTTACATTTAGGATTGCGAATTTCCTCCAAAGGAAAAATGTTAATTCAAATACCTTACCCCTTTTCTTTCGTCTACGCTTTTCTTGCAACTGAAGTTTCTTCTGCTTTGAACTAAACGGCTTTTTACGAGGCATTAAGTTTAAGAAAGCGTCTTTCTAAGCAAAGAAATAGAACCCTCCGTGAAATTGATGTTTACATAAAACCGGAAGTTATGTACTTACTTGGTTACGGAGTAAATTTTGTTAATTTTTTTTATCTTAAAATTAAAAATAATAAATAAACAACTATAACATCATTCAATGAAACTAATATATATCAAATATTTTTCATTTGGATTGCAATTTTGCGTTCAGAAAAACATTTTTTTAACATTTACTGCGCCACAGGTCTGTTTGCCTTGGAGCCGAGATCGTCGATGGTAAACGGAAGGATTTTAAACCAAGAGAAACACTACAATGGACATGAAATAGTGGTATAACGGACACTGTAATACAATGGAATTCCCATTTTCAGTCAACAATTTGCTTGGGTCTACAATATCAAAGCTGGATAATAATATATCCCCTTTTAGAAAACATGCAGACGGGTAAGTTTGCATACGTTATATTCACTTACAAGCAACGGCCTGCTTTACTGTAAACATGTTTTGTGTATGGTTTTCAAAATGTAATATGTTTGATGTTTCAGAATTTTATTAAATAAAGGAAATACTAATATGTTAAAGCATGTTAAGAAATTTATTTGCAAAATGAGCCAAGTTTCAAGCACTTTTGAGAATTGATGGAGACTCATGTAATTTGTTAGATAGAATATTCTATCATTTAATAAAATAATCTTGTCCTATGATGATATTGAACTTGGGGGACTTGTCCTGAGACACAGTTAAATAAGTAATTTGTATGAAAGTGAAGGATTGACTTCGAGCTTTCATCTGTGCTCTTTTATATACATGTATACTTGTTTCACAGATTACTAGACACAGAGTACTGGCTCAATTTTTGTGGAATTCGTGGGTACTCCTCATCCATGAATTAACATTCTCCACAAAAAATAAAGGTTACAAAGTCAGATTTCCTCTTGTAAGCTAGTATAAGAATACACAAAATTACGTCCCCACAAACCTGTAAACTTTAAGCAATACACAAAAATTGGCCCCCACAAATTAAAATGATTCCACGGTAGATCACAAAGTTTTGAGTATCTTTCCTCTGTCTTTTTTTCATGAGATTTTACATCATGGTTTTCTTTTCAGATATGACACAAGACAACTTAGAAGACAACTCATCGAAGTCATTGATCGGATGGGTGAAGCATCTGCAAGGGTAAAAAAAATTAATTTGACCATGCATTAAGCACTCAATTTTTGAAATCAACTGTATAGGTTTGTTTTGTCTGATTGATTAACGTCCCTTTCGAAAATATTTCACTTATATCGAGATGCCACCACTTTCTGGGGGAGGGCTGCAAATTTTAGACTTATACTCAGCACTGGGGGCCACTGAGCAGTGAGGGATCTTTTTGGTGCCAGCAACTACTATGACACAGGACCTTGGTTTATAATGTCTCATCCAAAGGACTGGTCTCCATGTCCTGCAGTGCATTTTCCCATGTGGGATTAATTTACCTTATGTACACAGTCAGTTAAAGGGGTTTTAACAAATCACTAAAAAATATATAATTGTCAAAGTAGATAAGCCGCATGTTGTTGGACATTTTCCTGTATACCTAGCAGAAACATGCCATATGTGCCTCATATCATTAAATAATAACATTGACTACAACTTCCCTTGATTTATTACAACGACAAATTAATTTATATAAATAAATGATCATAGGAACAATGCCAGGCTACACAAAAATAGTAAGGCTATTGAACAACAACAAAGACCATCCATAATGGCAAGATAAAGAAAATGATTAATCAGAAGAATAAAATTATATACCATTTGCATTAACTACATGTGGAGTCTCCAAACAATATGTGCACTTTTATAGAACATCCTCAAAACATATCCAAAATACAGATCTTATTCCATTTTAATTTACTTTGTTTTATAATTTTTTCTTCAGAAAAATAAGTAAGTTAAAAACTTGATGAAAAATATTAATGCTCTCATATATATCTAACACTCTGCCTAATATAAAGTTTCTAAGCTTTGTTGTTCAAAAGTTAGAAGGAAGGTTAAGGTTTATGCCGGAGACACAGAATGACAGATGGTCAAATGGAACAAAAACAATATGCCCCCACAAATTTGCCTCCAAAGAAAAGTTGAAATTTTTCAACCTATCTTCTACTTTTTCTTTTTGAGCACATTCAATGAAACTTCTCTCCAACTTTAACATGTTAACATAATAAGCATGTCCTTTGTGCTTAACCAGTCAAGGAGTCTGTTCCATCTACCAGCTTTGACAAGTTTTAAATTGATTACAAATCATTATTTTGCTTTGTTTCCATCTTTCAGGCTCAGGGACTTAGGACTATTATTACAACAGGACGAAAGCTTGAGTTATCAGATCATATTCTGTACATTATGAAGGATGATCAATTAAATGAGTGAGTTTCTATTTATTTAATAGATTTTATTAATATGTCTACTATTCAGCTGTGATCTTTGGATAATCTACCCAAAGTTTAATGACTTGATCAAGATGCAGTAAATAGAATATTGTAAAGACTACTCTATGCTTTAAAATATAAATTTCTTACAGTTTTGTATTCAGTTTTCATGCCCTTTTGTTCAGTTTTCATGCCCTTTTGTTTTTTTTCAGCAACAAAGGTGCTGTAGTTGGAATATTAAAAATTGGACATAAAAAATTATTTGTGTATGATACCAAGGGTCATGTTCATGAAATGGAGCCAGTATGTGTTTTGGATTTTTATGTTCATGAATCCAGACAGCGAATGGGTTGTGGAAAACTGTTATTTGAATACATGTTAAAGGTAACTATCCCCCCAAACAAAAAATTATTAACATTTTATGTCCAAATATTATTTCATATACTGTATAACATATGACTGTACCTGATATTGTCAGATTGATCTGTTAAAGTTTAATTTCTGTGACAGGAATAAGAAGAGAAAACTCTTATCTAAACATAACTTTGAACCTGATAAAAACTTGAAATCTTATGATGGTATATGATACGAAGGTATTTTGAGACTAGAGTACTAGAGGTCTTTTGACCCTGTACCAAGATCATTTTGATGAGGTCAAGGTTGAAGGATAAAAAAGTGTTCAATCATTGTTATTATTATAAGCCATAACTAAGACAGAGAAACATCTGAACTACTGGTATATGCTTAAATGTTGCTTTATGACTCGAATGTGTGACCCATAGTCTTTGGACAAGGTCATGGGTCTCAGAAGTTCAAAATGATCATAACTCTGAATATATATACATTAGTATTTATATGGGTAAGTGTGACAATGCATTCATTTAAAAGTACATATATGAAATTCATTTCTTCCAGGAACAGAATATTGACCCACATCATTTAGCCATTGACAAACCATCATTTAAATTTAGCAAGTTTCTACAGAAGCACTACAACTTGAAGGCTGAAGTTCCACAAGTTAACAATTTTGTCGTATATGAAGGGTTCTTTAGTGGACGTCCGTATGAAGACAGTTTACGAGGGAGACGGGGAAATTCCAGGCCTCCTATGCACCCAAACTCAAACTGTATGAATTTATATTGAGCATGTCATAAACTACTTGCCTTATCATTGAAAACTACAAGACAGAATATAAACTCTGTTGTGAATTTATAAGTTTTACTGCCTTTCTCAATGCATTTAATTTATTTTTTGTCTTTAGAACATTTTATCAGAGAGATTTTTCTGTTAGTTATAAGTATAGTATATAACCATTGTCATTTTTAGATAACAACTCTGAGATTAAGGCTGGTAGGAGACAAGGCTCTAGTCACTACAGATACAGGGGTTCCCCATCTAGTCAGCTGGAGTCGGACAGCTATCATCCCTCCAATCGATCCTCCCCACGCCGAGGAGAGAACATGGTCTGTTTCTAGTCATATAAGATTTCTGTGATCTGAATTTAATATTTTAAAAATCTTAAATCACCAGTAGATACTGAAAAAAGGATTGTTGTTTGTGTGTTCCTGGCAAAGTAACTTGATTTATAATTAACATTTCAGACTCCAGATTTGGTCCCTACCCCTCCCCGAGCTCCATCACATATGGAAGTCTTGGAAAGATTACTGAGTGACAGAGAGTAAGTACTGCATATTGTTGTTAGATTTTATTGAGAAATTTATAAGAAAAATATAAGGTTTTCTAATTATTGTGATTAAAGAATATATAATAGATGTAAATACTATTTTGATAGATTTTTTTTTTTTCAAAAATATGTTTTTTTTTAATTTCATTTTTGACATGAGTATTTTTTTAATCATCATCAGTGTTCTGGGATGTGGCATATATAATTTTCACATGCAGTAAGAACACAATATATCTTTCTTGCTATTCTATAGAATACTCTTGTTTTCCAACTAACTGTCATTAACTATTCATTCATTGATAATTCATTTCACTTATCACAAAGTAATACCTTTCCTTGAATTAATATATATTTCTGAATCAGCACTATCTCCTTCCCACAGCAAAGTCCAAGACATAAGGGGCCCCTCTCCTTCCACAAAACACAGAGCTTATGGTGCAAGTGCTACACATTATAGTCGGCACACAAACCCTTCTCCTGAGGTTGACTCTCGACCTAATACCACCTCTGTCCTCAATTTACAAATTAGGAGTGGAGGGGGAAGAGGAAGCCGACACTCCCAGAATAGAAACCAGAATGCTGAAACAAATGGCAAGACCAGCCCACCTCTACTGCAAAGGGAACCTCCTATCAATTTCCAAGAGAGGGTGAACCTTCATCAGGATTACATGGGAAGAAATGGTCACCTTAAAGTCACAAAAGCAGTTCCTTCCAGGTAAGGTTATCAGGATTTGTAGGGCTGTGTATTGTGCAAAAAAAAATTGATACGATACAATATGATATTTTATAAAGCGATATGTGATATATTGGATTGTTTTACAAGTCTATAAAAAAACCTTGTAAATCATTAAATGCATAAATTTTTTGAAAAATTGAGTGTTTTATAACCCGTTCTTGTCTTGCTGCCATCACAAAATACACTTCAAATTAAACTTCTTGAAAAGTTAATGACTGTAAAAGCAACATGTTAAAATACAGTTGTCTATGTATTTTGTATTAATTATTTAAGATGTGCTGTCTCCTTAATGTTTATGTCATTATATTGATGAATTTGATCACTTTTAATTCAAAGCAATTAAATATAATCTTTGGTAATGAAATTCCCAACTTTTTTACAGAATATATTTGTAAGAAGAACTGCCTGCCCGATACATATTGGAAGTTATTTTTTCGATACAATACATTCTTTATATCGGTACTTATCGATATATTGACACAGCCCAAATGATTTCAAAAATTTGAAAAGTAGAAAGTTCAAAATTAAATCAGAGATGATTGAAGAAATTAATTGTAGTATAGGCAGCAGTGTATGAATTTTAAATAAATTATAAAAAATGTGATGAGTACATTTACATTATATTGTGTTGTTTTCTTTATTTTTACAGTTTACCATCCATTAACAACAATCAAAACAAAATCCAATACGATGACAACCCAGCAAAAAACATTTTAGCAGGAATTCCCTCCCCTTGGAAGGGAAACTTTCCAAGTAATTCTAATTGGACTGTGTATGGAACACCAAATAATTATCAGACTATAGGATCTAGGCATTATAGCCATACAAGATTGTGGTGAGCAGGAGGGAGAAACAGTTCTACTGTCTTCAAACTAAAGCCTTCTCAAAAGCATGCACAAGTCATAATAGCCACAGAGAAGTTCAAACTATGTTTTAGAAAATTAACCAAAAATGTATAAATTTGACATCAAAGTAGTATTTATTTAGCATTTTTTGAAAATATACAAGATTTTTTCAAAGCACTATGGAGTCATTGTCAGTGGCAAGAATAAGATGAGAAAAGATTGTAAAGTTAATGTGGTAGTGTTTGAATTGAAGAGTGATTGTGGCTTTTTTCATGAATCAGCTTGGTTGTGTGCAGTTTGAGATTTCTTCTACAAGATAACAGTAATCCAGAAATGGATTACTTATCTTACATCTTTTGTTCATTTTCTGTATTATTTTTATATTGAACAAACCCTTTGAGACTCTTTAAAAAAGGATTCATTTTGCATTTTTAGCCAAAGAAGATTGTTCATTACATGTGTTTCACAATCATTATCACCCTTGATATAAAAGTTGAGTCACAGCAGATGGTGAAATTACAGATTGATTTACCAATATTTATAGCTTAATAGATATACATGTACTACATGAAACTATTGAGAGATTATATGTTAATGTCCCATGCGGGAATCAAGAATTTTTTCCAAGGGGGGGGGGGGGGGATCCAAAATGTTGGACTCCAAAATTTTTTAACAAGCAAAAAAAATAAAACCTGAACAACTTCCCAGAAAATGAGCATTCTATTTGGGAGGGGGGAGGGGGGGAGGAGGAGGGATAGAACAAGTCACTTTTGTTAGTCAATTTTCTTCAGATACATGTACCTCCTTACTATTTTATGAGATGCCCATGATTTCTTGAGGGGGGGGGGGTCCAAGGTCAATTTTTTGTTAATTTACATTAAAAATCTGAAAATCACCTTCCTAAATCTGTGCATGATTATCTGATCTGAGCTTCCTGCCTTTAACTTTTAATTATGTTTTATGTGCAATGATAGAGAGCACCTCAATATGTAATGTTTTCTCCCTTCAGCAGTTCTTCATAAACAATTACAAAAAGTTAAAAAGTTTAAATTGTTTATTATTTTGAATTTGTATTTCTTTTCCCCTTTCGAAAAAGAAGAGCTGCAAAGTTAAAGGGATGCTACTCCAATTGTTATAATCTGATAACTATTCAGGTATTGCATATTGTGACTGCTTTGAACATTGAATAATATTCTGAAACATGATCAGCTGCTTCAGTGTTTCATTTGTGCATTTCTTAGTTACATTTCATCTAACAAATGAACTGTCGATATAGAAATATTAAGGGTTAATATGCAGTATTGGTATAAAGTAGTATTTTCCCATGTAATTCTCAAATTAAAATGTAACATTAACAAAAGTTCAGAGGAAAAGACAAAGTAAGTTATGACTTGTGGCAATGGTATTTTGTCTCAAATTCTTAGATTCCTTGTCATCTCTAAAAAATGCCATTTTAATATGCTTAAGTATCTTGGGTAATTGATTGAGAATTGCTTTATTCATGGGTAAAATGCAAATTCATTTTAACCCTTTTTCTGGTTTTGCAGAAGCAGCTGATATATAATGTTTGAAACTGCCACTCAATATTCTTTTAGTTAGAGTTTGTTCATTTGGTAGTTATTTTTCTGTATTTGTTGATTTGGTATGCTCAGGCTTTGTATATACATGTATTCCTATCAGTATTCACAGTACATACTAAATCTTTAGGTTTGTTACCATATTTTTTTTTATGGTGCTTTATTCAATGGTTCCTTTTTGAGGGTTGTGTTTTGTCAAAGAAAGATATCTGTACTATTAATTTCAAAATGACCTCTTAATCTTTCCAAATATGTATTGGCACATAGAGATAATGCACCATTTAATGACATGATTGCTCTAAATGCATTGCATACTTTTATCTTTTCTTCCTTTGGCTTTGGTAAACATACAGTTATCACCTCTAAATTATGTTATTATTGATTGATCCTTTTTTCTGCACTGTCTATAATTTAAATACATGTATTCACATATTTATGCAGTTGTTGACAATCATAAAAAAGCTTTTTTTTCATGACATGCAGACATGCCCATTTTCATTGTGATAGTAAATATCTTTATTATTAGAACATTTTTCAAATGTGTTCAATAATAACCCTTATTAAGCACTGCTTGCTATTAGGAACTTGTTATGTTTTCATAGTATATAATATATATCAAAAAGCTGAAATGTTTACGGTATTTTTTAAAAAATTTTTGTGGAACTTCAAAACAGTTATTAAAACAAATGGTAATACCATTTTATCAAAATCTTCTTTTTTTGTTACTTCAAAAAGTTGTCTTCTTGCTAGAAAACACTTGCAATTCTACAAATTGAACATCAATGAACCTCAAGATGTGTGTCAAAGATACAGGTAGAAGTCTTCTTGTAAATTTACTTCTTTCATTTGGCACAAGTCAAACCTAGCTGTCATCTTTTGGACTACATTGATCAGGTTCACTTTAAATGAATAAACCAATTTATTTCTGGATCCATTTAACTTGGAAAGAAATAATACAGAAGACTTTCTGTTGCTCTTGTTAAATTTTTTAGGTCTTTTAAGGAATATGCTTTTCTTATATATTAAATTATAGTCACATGTTACTGTTATGGGTTTAATACATTACAATAAAAACTTGCAAAGTATATACATGTAAATTCATTGGTTGTATAGAAGGGTTTAGTCCAGGAGAAATAGTAAGTTAAAAGATGTAGAATAAGGTCCGCCAAGAAGAGTTATCTCCCCCAGGTGGCGCTCGTGTACTATGAGGTATAGATACGTCGCCATATTTGTCTACTTTATAATAGTTAGAAACCGCGTTAAGGATAAATCGTCGATATGCCAGTGTATTGTTGTGTACCTACGTGTAAAAGTAAGAAAGGTGGACATCTGTTCCCTTCGAATCCCGATCTAAAATTGAAATGGCGAGTCGCGATTCGAAGATTGGATGTAAAATCAAGAAAGTTATGGGAGCCGGTGTCGCATAATATTTGGTCCGCCTCGTTTAAAGGTCCGGGGGGACCTAATACGATAACATATAAGGTCCGGCCTGCCTCTATAATAAAAGGTCCGCCCTCGGTTTAATATGCAGATTTTTCTCCTTTATTGATTCGAAATTAATTTGCTTTATTAATCTTTTTAAATTATTTAAGGTATAGTTGTTATAAAAGTGTCCCTCTCAGCAAAATGGAGTTCCAGTGACGTACATGTATGTACATTGTATATATACTAAAAGGATCAAGTCTTGCGATATCTCGCTAGTTGCTGGATTTCGTTAGCCTATTTTAATTAATTATATTTCTAATGCTATGATATATCTCAGTACAAAACCTCAAATTATCTATCAAAAAATTATTCAAAATTTGATGTTAACACTGATTAACTGTTAGCTCCTTATCGTAGTACATGTACATACATGTACCTCCCAGGTAGTGCACAAAACAAAAAATATAAAGATGCAAAGATCTGTTGATCGAGTTACCTTATGGGAAAATCATGTACATGTGTCTTTTATAGTTTAAGTGATATCAATATTATCATTGCAAAATAAAAAAAAATACATATATCATACGCATACCTTCACTGGCACATTGTTCAGTATATGGTGTTCGTAAGTCCAACAATGATCATTTCATTACAGTCTCTTTCCCAATAACGTTCGACTTCCACTTCCCAAAAAGAATTTTCATATCTTTCGAAAGATATTTCATTATATCATTCATAATAATTATGCATAATTCTTACGATTCATATTGTACCTAACTATAAAATAATTGGAGGGTCACTTTGACAGGGACTTGTGTTACGGTGTACTAGCCTATCCCGTTGTTGTTAAAACAACATGTCTGTGCTTTGGGGGGTAGGCCTATTGTCTCACCTGACGAAACTTGAAGTCGCATATCCCCCGTGTTTTTATAACCATCGTTTCTTATCCAGTTAAAGACTAACGATTATTTCATTCTACTTGATATTACCCAGGGTTAACACTGGTTAAGGAAGATGTGCATTAATTGGCAAAATCAAACCAAAGTCAATCGAGTTGAACATTTTAAGCAATAAAACACCCCCTCCCCCAAAAAAGGAAAAGATTATAAATGGTGTTGTTGTATTTTTGGTGGGTGGGGTATAGCAGAATTATGCTGATACATGTCAAATAGTTTAAAAAGTACTGATGTTGTAGACTTTCCTCCCGCATTAATATTTTTTCCCGGAAAAACGAGCTTGGGTTTAAAGACCCCTCCCCTTTTGGAAAATGAGCCTAGCATATAGGATTTTATTTCTGGAATTTTTTTTAAAATATTGTTTATTTCATTCCCTACATTTTGTAGTTTTCATTTCTGACGTTTTAAAATTTTCATCTCTGACATTTATCATCATAAAGTACTTTTCCGGCAATGAAAACAAAATTGAAATTTCCCTTATAAAAAAAATTTAAGAATAAATCAAGAATACACTCTGTAATTCATTGATTTCCAAATAATAAGTTCTGCTTATATTTAAAAGAATCTTATGACGATTTTATCCTCGGACACATGTAAGTGTAAGTTGTGAATTTTTGTTCATCTTTTCAAATCAAGATAATCAGACTGAATTTGAGATCAGAAAGGTTCAGATAGAATTTATGACATACAGAAACTATGTTTGACGGAATAAAGTAATCAAAGTAGAGGAGATTCTGTTTTTCGGTGCTTTCAAACACATATAATTCAGTGGGCATTAAAATTTGGTGATCAAAAATTGCATGTTTTATTATTGAAATTATTGCATTTTATTACTAAACTTTGTATTTTTACTAGACTTAGTGTTGATTGTATTGTAAAATGAAAACAAAAAATGTCGGAAATGCAATGCAAAATTTCGGAAATGACATGCAGCGAGCTTGGATGAAACAACCCCGGCTTTATTATCCACCATAGGAAATACTCAGTACGCTTCAGTACAGAATTTTCTCCTTTTCCACCTTCTTACTAGGGAGAATCTTATCCACCCATACTATTTACAGAGGGGTTTTACAGAGCAACTTGACATGTATTTCCCCCTAAAATAAAAAGGAAAGTGTCTGTTGAGATCATGACTGATATAAAAATTCATAAAACACCACCAAGTCGTGTTCTTTTGTTAATATTTTTTATATTTATTTTGATTTTGGTTTAAATAAGATTTTCTACGACTTTAAGCGGCTATTTCTTTTTTATTTATGTGTGTGTGATGGGGGGGGGGGGGGGTGTTATAGTTCTCTTGTTGCACGTCACCAACATTATAAATAAAATAATAATATATATCCTTGGTCCTTTCAGACAGATGTTTATGGTTGCATATAGATATACAATACAGTAGACACATCTCCTGCAAACGAACATAGAGTGGATAATTAATTGACATTAAAGTTTTGTCTTTTTGTCAGAATATTAAATGAAAAAAGTACACTACTACATGTAGTATATATGCAATTCTTATGCACAATTAGGCCATTCCAAGAGTTTTCTAAGTTAATTTAGCGTCCATCCTAAAATTAAAAA